TTTTAAATTACTTGAAAAATATAGATACTATGTTAATTTAAAAATTACGGCGGGTATGTATTCCTCTTAAGTTTTTATAAAAATTTAAAAAATTTCAGTTGTCAATTTTTCGATTCATTTAAAAATGTTCTGAAAAAGAATAGTAATATAGGTATGTTTATTTTCATTGATACGTTTCTTTGATCAATGTATATCTTGGGGCAACTACCCCATATTTCTTGTATAATACGTCAAACACTTTCTTTGAATTCTTATTTTTATTATATTTGATATATTTATATATTTTGCAATTTATTAATAATAAAGAAGGAAAATGAGGAAAACTAAAAGACCGTGCCACAAAAACGTCGAGTGATCGTTTCTTTCCGTAAAACAACTTTGCCTAATATCACAACATACAATGAATTATTCGAAGAAAAACAGCAGAGATAAATAATTATTTTCGACACATAGCTTTGATTTTGCTCATTAAGATTTCGTCCCAAATAATAAGAAAAATTGCCTTTATATTGGTGAAATATATAAAAATAAATATTATTTCATTGAATAGGTACTGTCTATGCCTCTAGATTTCTTTAGATACAAGACAAAGAAAAAGAAAAGGTTATGAAAGTATTTTTATCCAAAGGCAATGAAATTGCTGATAAAATGGCAAAAGATGCTGTTTTGGATGAGAGTGGTCTAGAATTTTATAATACAATAGACAATACCGTTGCTAAAGCAAGAAATAAAAAACCATTGGACAAACATCTGACAAGAATATGTAAATAAATTATCCACATCTTCCAAACAAAATACAACACATCCAATAATATACAGTTAACAGATTTTATAGCGAAATCATAACTCGATTAAATCTTAATCACTATAGATTTCCGGCTCATTTAGCCAAAAATGGAATAAATCAGTTTTCCAAATGTTCTTGTGATAACTCCACTGTAGATGATATCTACTACTTAAATATTTTCTTGTAAAAATTGCACCAATGAAATAAATTTCTAGAAATAATTACTAAAAATAAGATTTTCTTACCATGCTTCCTGGTGCCAAAAACTCACATTCACTCTATCCACATAAATACAACGATACTACTAAAACATGAAATTAGGCAATAATTAAAGGGTGATTATGTATAATCGATTCTATGGTACTCATAAAAATATTAGCTAAGAGTAGAGAAAGGGGATTCCCCATAATCAGTCTTTTACGTCAAGAATTAACAGAACGTTTCTTATATTTTTCTCACTTGATTTTTAGGGTCCTAATAAATAGTTTTTGTTTTTTTCGATTTAATTTTTCTCATGTACACACATCTCTCTTTTCTGTTATTTTGAATATACTGCTTTAGATTTTCTCCCCATATTTTATTTTAGTTATTCAAGTAGTTCATTCCTTTAATCTCATTGGTTCACTAATGCCAGGGGTGCATATACAGGGGAAATTGGGGTATCGGGGGGTAATGGGGGTAATGGGGGTAATATGGGTAATATGGGGTAATATGGGGTAATATGGGTAATATGGGGTAATATGGGTAATATGGGGGTAATATGGGGTAATATGGGTAATGGGGGGTAATGGGGGATAATGGGGTTAATAGGAATAATGGGAATAGTGGGAACAACGAGGATAATGGGTATAATGGGGATAATGAGAGTAATGTGGGTAATGGGTATAATGGGTATAATGGGGGTAGTGGAGGTAATTACCCCCTAGATTTTTATACCTTACTTTTATAGATTTTTTTTTGCTTTGGATATTGATCCTTTAGCCACACACAACATTTAAATGTTTAATTAAATAATTAACCTAATTAAATGGAAATTTTATTTATTGAGATAAATTCTACTATTAAGTTGTAAATTTCTTTATTCTCCGTTGCCAGTAAAACTTGAATGTTGGTGGGAAATTGTAAATTTAACTTATTTAGTTTGTCCATGAAGTTAGCAGTTCCTGGATTTATTTTACAATTAAAAAACAGGTGATTCAAATCAGCAATTTCATTATCATGTTGACAAATAGGCGACTCTATTATTCCTATCTTATGCAGATGGGCCGGGAAACATCCATGGTTGATCTTAAGTCGTGTAATGATAGATGAGTATTTTTTTGAAACATTAAATAGAAATATGTGGGGAACCGGTTTTGGTAAATCCTTATGGATAAATATAACTTTGCAGTTCCTTAGTGAAAGCTGATATAGTAAATGTTTTATCTTACAAATGATGAAGTTTTTTGAATTATTCATTGAAAAGTGTTTAATGCTTTCCAATACGGATTTTGAATCTGTGGCTATAATTGTTTCTGAAATACTGTTGTCCAAGCACCAGGAGAGAGCTTTTTCAATTGCATTGGCTTCTGCGCTGAAAATACTACAAACATCCGGAATCCGACATTTAAAAGTTACTTCCCTACCAGGAATAAAAAATGCACTACCTACTCCTTGTTCGTCCTTACTTCCATCTGTGTATATAGTTAATTTAATATTTAAGTTATCTATTGTTGATAATAATAATTTTTGATTATAGGCATTGTAATGGGGGAATATAACTAGCGATTTAGAGAAAATTGAGTTGTTAGAAAATGTAAATGCTGGTATAGTTACTGAGGGATTTATGTACTTAACAATCTCCTGTGTGTATAGAAAGGCAGATGATAGTAAAGGTGAGTTCTTTTTACGCCAAAATTTGTTGGTTAGATCCTCTGTATTTAATAAATTTATTCGATTAACTAATGACGAGTTATATATTCTCAGTTTAGTTATGTGTTTGTTAGCTAGGTATTGTCTTCTAAGATATAATGGGGGTTCATTAGCTTCCGCCAGAATTACATTGCATGGAGATGATTTCATAGCTCCAATACAAAGTCGTACAGCTTTGTACTGAATTCTATCGACCTTTTTTAGATTTGTATTTGACGAAGACCCGTAAAGAATGCAGCCGTGGATTATCAAAAATAATGTCTTAAATATTACCCCCTCAGACTTAAACTGTATTATGCCCCTGACTAATGCTGTTCATTTCCTCAATCTAGATCTATTTATTTGTATTTTTTAATTTTTGTATAATTATACAATCAGCAGGTCAAGAGATCTAATAAAAGAATAACAAGACAATATAAACGTACCATTCCAAGAATGTTTAAAAAGGTAATTTACAATGATAAATAATGAAGAAAACAAAAATGAAAAAAGAACATTACACTGCAAGATAAATTTAATATTAAATGCTTAGTTTGGTTTTATTTTGGTTAGATATCAAATTGAAGATTTGTTGTTTGAATTGTGAGTAAGATAGAAAAAATACATCCACGGGGGTTACTTGATTATGTTGGGTATTTGGAGTTAATATTCGAAATGTAATATTGGAACGCGAAGTTACTCGCTGCACATTAGAGTCTAACAAAGACAGGAGAGCTGAGAGTCAATTTGATCGTTTCAAACTTTTAATTAAATAGCAAATCTCACATTTACTTGTTTTTGTTTTTTTTTTTAAGTACCTAAGGCCAGTGAAATTCGTTTGAATGTATAATAATCACCAATTTGTGTATATTGGCCGTGCGTCATTTTAAAAACGTTCTTTGTACATATTTTATTTTAGCCAAATATCTTGATTATCAGGGATTTCAAACTGTCTTGCTATACTCCAATTTACTTATAATTAATTCATAATAGACTGATTTAGGCGCATCGTAAGAATTAAATTCTCTATAAGTCTTAATTAAAACTCCAAAATTCTTCATTGCATGATTAAAAACATAATGAATGTATTAGAAAAAAGTTAGTTCCTGGTGAAACAAAACACCAGTATTAAATTATTATTGTCCAAACTGTAGTTACACGTAATTGGAAATTACCTTCTTGAAAATGACATCATTTTACATCTACTACAGTTTAAAAACAATTAATTTTTCCTCACAAATTCATCTTGTTTGATCATATCTTATTGCAGAAGAATAGAGATATATTTTTGATTTTATTGTAAAGTTTTATACCATCTGCAAGTTTTTCTGATAAAATGATAATACATGCATCTTTTACAAATAAAATTAAAATTTGATCCCTGAGGGACCCCCCAAATATTTGAAAGACATAAGATATTAAGGGGTCTATTCTGTAACACATCCGTTACAATTTAGAGGCCTTTAAAAATTAAACTTTTAGCGGCCCGTTAATTTTTTTAACCAAAAATAGTGTTCTGTATACACAAATTTGAGAGGCCTGTTAAAAATTATTTATTTTAACGGATTCCTTTAAAAATGGCAGGAGAACACTTGTCAACTTCGCATATGAGATTTATTTGAACTAGTTTAAAAACAACCATACAAATCCTCAATTTTCAAATCAAAACCGTTAAAAATTAAAGGCAAGGTTTAACATCCCTTTAAAAGTGATTGTTATTTCAGGACTATTTTATATATATAATAATGATAGATGTAAGTTAGTAAATACGAAAATATTTTTAAAGGCCGTGAAAATATAAAGAAATTGTTACAGAGTAGACCCAAAAGTATTAGATGAAATGCCCAATTTTATAATAAGTAAATTGATTGTGATGGTTAAAAGCCTTGCTGAATGTCCATTTAAATCACATATACTCTACAGACTAGATTGTATCGGATAATAGATACAATTTAAAATAATTTAGAGAAAACAGATATTAATGCGCCTGTAGTTAAGATTTTTTCCAAGTTGTAGGAAAATTGGAGGTTTTCACTACTAAATGATTAATTTTCAATAAGAAATAATAAATAAGTTGAATATGGTTTTTAATTATTGCACTAGGAATCCTGTCAGGACCTGAGGACCATTTTTTTTAACTTCTTTGAAGCAGACATGGTTTATTATTCTGTAACAATGTTAAATATCAAATAGTTTCTAACATTTTGAGTTTTTGCTCCAATGCTATTAATTGCAGGATCTGTCTCGTTATCATTATAACGATTTAATAAACTAGTAATTATATATGTTTATCCAACAATTATAAATATAAAAAACATCTTACCTAGACGATAATTTCCTCACCAAACAATAAATTCTCACAAATATAAATATCTAAAAATAAACACGTTTAAATGTCCAAGACGCGTGTGTACCAGCAACACTTTCCCAACACTACCAAATATTTATTTATTCAAATTCAGATGGATCTTTAGTCGCGAGCACGAGCAAGAACGAAAATAAACTTTTAACCTCTTTGTAAAAAAATCTTCGCGAGACGTACTTGCAAGAAGTCAAGAAGAAGCGTATTAATTTAACAACATGCGAGCAGACTAGAGCGCTGTTGATTATCTGACTGAGAATGGAGTTGAGACTCCGCTTCACTTTTAATCAAACTAATTATAATTAAAAGTCAGGTTTTCCCAACGGGTGGCGATTATCTGATCTGGTTTGTGAAATTAAGTACTCTCTGTATGGTGCAGGAGGAACCGAATCTTTTCGGAGAACAGTGACTTTTAGGAGTTTCATTTAAATATGGTTCGAGAAGCGATATGTAAATAAAATCATTCAAAATAATCTAAGGTAATACCACGAGTCCTTGAAATTATATCGATTACAATTTTAGTTTCCACGAAAACATCCCCAGCTAGCACACTGATGTCACCGCGACGTCGTTTTTTGGTGATAATTAGTCTCATCATCTAAAAATGACGTCTCAGAGACGTCATAAATACGACGCCAATATCACGTAATTTTTTAACGTTATATATCTCAGCTAGCACAAAAACATACCATCTACGTTAATAAGCTGTAATTTTAGGCTCGCATGCAATGTACTTTTAATGTAACCCTAATATCCATGCAACTGCCGAATGTCCGCAACGGTTACAAAGTGAAGTTCAGAAAACATTACACTAGCACTTTTACGGTATTTTCCCTCGAACGTTGCTTCGAAACGTTTTATAAATATAAGTAAATTCATTCTACAGCATTATACAGTGTGTCCACGGAATGACCTAACTATACTTGTAAAAATATTTATTTAAAATTTAAAAAAATAAATACGATTAACTTTGAGAAATAATGAAAAATGACTTTTTTTAAAAACTTAAAATAAATATTTTTACAAGTACCTATATTTAAGTCCATTCTTGAACACCTCATATGTAAAATAGTATATATTATTATTGAGGATATAGTAAATCTCAATGAAACAAACTTAAAAATTGTATAATTTTATTATTAAAAAGCTTTAAGTTTCACTAGAATCTAAAACACTGAACGATTGTACGAAAGAGTATAATAAGGTACCTATATTGCAAAGGTTCACTAGTAGTTAAAATGGTGAGCGATTACACAAAAGTAGTTAAAAAAGTATATTTATATATGGTATATTTCAAAGGTCACTATATTTTTTATCAAAATGGCAGTTGTGAGGTGTTAAAAAAAGATATTTACCTACAACCTGTACTAATTATAGTGAAAAATATGCTCATTTATATCGTTGCACTTATGTTTAGTTGATTTTTACTCAGTTTGTTGTTTTAAATAAATAAATAATGAAATTTATTTTGAATTTTACAAAGGATGAACAAGTTATACAGAGCTTCGTATAAAAAACAATGTTTCTTAGCACGATATGCTGCTATATACTCACGGCATCATCTGTCCTTCATTTTAAGATTGATTTTAACACGAAAGAAAAAAATAATTTCAGGTGTTATATATTCTTCTTTAACCAATTCTGTATTATTTACTTTAGCTTCTAAACTTCCTGAGTTTTTACTAAAATTATAATCCAGCACAAAGGAAACCACAATATAATATTTTTAAAATGTATTTTTAGTGATTAAGAATATTTACAATATGGTGACCATAGGTTTAGCATTTTTCTGTATTTTACAGCATTTTAAAAGTCTGCCCAGCATTTGATCTTGTGCAGGAAACGACAGCAAAACGGCATAGGTATATGTTCAGCGAAATGCAGTATTTGTCCAGCAAAACGCCACTATTGTCCTGCAATGTACTACATAATTTACTGAAACTTAAAAAAAATTAACATGTTATTTATTTTTAGCGAGCTATATGAGCATATCTATGCTGCCGTACTAGCAAGAAATGTTTTAGCTGCAAAATTAACACTTTTTTATTTCTATGCATTTGTCTACATTTTATCTTTCTTCTTCCCTAAACTAATGTCCTATTTGCATTGTAAAGGAACTAAAACGTTAAAGAGTTACACAAAACAGGTTTCTGATAATAAATATGTCTGCAAAAAATATTTAAAAACCCGATTATTTTGTAACAACAAATTTTCAGATAGAACCTTTCTTGCTAGGACGGCAGATATGACTTTCTGTTTTTGTATTTTTATAGTTGGGAGCTAAAAAAAAATTTCACTCGCCAAAGTTTATCAACAATGTTGTATTCGTGTTCAGCATCAAGCTAAAAGTGTTTATTATAGTGCAGTGCAGTCATTATGCTTTCTGTGTGGGGGGGGGCTAAATGTCACAAGCCAAACTGTTAATTATTTATTGAAAACTAATATTTTGAAGAAAATGGAGGAAATCCAAAATTAGACTGTGCAGAAGGTGTTACGTCCTTCAAGACATTAAGATTTATCCCAAAAGACACTTAAACGTGGCATCGTTGCAAATCCAGACTCAACACGGTGAGATGTTATTTTACTTCTTTATTTCTACACTCGGCCAGAAGTCCAAGATCTTGAGTTTTCCTCCAGAGTAATTGATTAAAATGAAAATTGCAGCCATTAAGAAATCCGTTTTGGGCGGATTTTTAAAAATCTACATGAAAAGCTCTTGGATTGAATTCAGACACACTTCCTATAAAAAGCTAAACAACTTTACATATGTCTCTTCTTTTTTGTCTGGTAACAGTGTATAAATTATTGGAACAACACCTTTTTTCCTCGGTACTGCCTATATCCACGTGACTTGTGTACACTTGCTTAAAAAGCTTTTAAATTTTCCATCAGCAAAATTGTATTTTGTATTGTCTCAATAAATTGAAGTCCCTTGCGAAAATGGACGTATGTAATTTGTACCAAGAACAAATATTTCGACATCCCCATCGAAGAACGTTGTAACTCACGATACGTCCTTTTTAAATTCAGCCACAGGCATATTCAGCAAAATGAGGCAATGGCTTGGTTGATACTCGTTTGAAAAAAGTTGTACTTCAAGTAACCTTCACCATTTCAGCCTTAAAAAGGCAGTAATACGTGCCAGATACCTCTTTACCTATGTCAAATTTTCGAATAATATGAAGCATATTGAAAGATTGTAAAATGAGTTACAGCCTTCTTGTTTGCATATGTAGCAATAAAAAATATGCCTACATATTTCTTATTGTATTATGGTTGTATCTTACTTACTGCCTTATTCTGTGAAGTGTTATGTTAATTGTCAACGTTGTATCTCAATCAAACTCAATTTATTAATTATATTATTTATAAAATTTAAACATTCATTATCTCATAAGTAACCTCCACTGTGTTCTAATGATCCTATTTGTTACTTATTGGAGTATTATACAGTTTTTGTTCGATGGTGGTGTCGATTTATGGCAGCTTTTTAATTTTAGAGATTAGAGACGTAGGTAATTTGGATCACGGGTCTAATAAATGTTTAAGATCGAATTAAGAGAATGAATTTGAAATTTTTATATCTTAAATCATTTTGGTTAATAAGCATTTAGTTATCCTGTGCAATTTTGTGTAGTAGTGTTCTATATGGAAAGTTCAACAATGATTAGTTCAAGAGGTAAAAAACTTTTAGTGATTGATAATCACTCATTGATAATAACTCATATTAGTAAACGTAGAAAAATTCGCTAGAGGTGTTGGAAACGTCAGTGTCCCGCAGAAAACCATCTAGAATAATTCGTTCCAAATTACACAGCAATGAAATTAGTAATCTGCTGAATATTGAAGATATCGCGTATCTAAGGCGAAACATGTACAATTCAAGAAAAAAAATATTCCAACGCTGCCTACTAGTAGAAGTGAGACTATATTTTGTTAAAAATATTGTGTTATAAAATATGAAGAAAAAGTGGTATTCTTTAAAACATAAGCAGACATTTTTTATATGTATTTACTTAGGTTATTTACAAAGTTTTATTTGAAGGTAATAAAAAAAGGTCAACTTTTGAGAACGTTAGGTACCTACTTAAATATTAAAACATTTAAACTCTTAATAGTCTTAATCCTTTCGATTCTTAGCCCGTGGTTCAAATTATTCACCTTTTTTCAGACTCCCTGAATTCGTGGCCGATATTTTTACCATCTCGGGCAAAAAAAATATTCTGTCTTCCATCATGCTGTCACAAAAAAATGCTTTACATTTTTCATGAATTACAATATCCCATTGATGCTTTGGAAATATTTGTATACCTAAGGAGCTATATCGGGTAGCATACAATTGTTTTTCAACATTATGGAATCTTGGAACTGCAGTAACCAAGTGGAGTCCTTTATCTGTGACGTTTTTTGTTATTTCTTCTTCATCGATTTTGGTAACAGGAGTACATTCTTCGCGGACACGTTTCTTGATATTGGAAATGACAACTAGCACTTAGTTGCTGTCAATAACAGGTGAAAATACTGAATTACTATCTGTTTTTATGTTTCCTGAGCAACTTCTCTTGGTACAACTCCACAAGATGGCACTGCTCTCGCATCTATGTAATCCTCTTTAGTAGTTTTTTAATCTTCCTTCGATATTTAAATTTCATAAGTTTATCTAAATGCCAGCAGTTACAATATTCATTACCTAACTTTTTTATTAAATTTAGGAATCGAGAATAAAAAACACAGGTAAAATTTAGTATGTATACGAAAAGGAAGTAAACGAAACTAAATCCTAACCGTACAAGGTTATTTAATTTTTTGCAAATTGCCTGGTTTAATGAGAGTATTCCTTCAAATTAATGGCAAGCCCTACTTTGGCATCAATATAGAGCTCACAATGCACAAAATATTACAAATTACTTAAGGCTATATTCAACTGAATGGATTGGAAACACAGGTCCTATTCTTTGGCCTGCGCGTATCCGTGATGTAATTTAAAAAAAATCAAGATGGCGGCGGTATGCTAACCGCTGACGTCACATAAATCTGACAGTCCCTTTATTTACCCTACAATTTCATAATTATATAATCATTCGTTTTAAATAAAATACTTTGTTGCCAAACTTGTTCGCTACCCTGTATATTTATTTTCTTAGCAGCTTCCAAAAAGGTTGCGCCCCAGGGCTATAGCCCATTAAGCCCTTTGTTTAGGGTGGCCTATCTGGCTCTATTGCTTCTATTACTCTTTGTACTAGAAAAATATAATTTTAAAAAAATAATAAATGATCTAAATTGGAATATTCAGGGAATTTCCTTATTTAAATTGCCACACCTCG